ACCAATACCCCCTTCCGATACCAGAGAATATTTTTGCCAAGCTGAATGGTGGGAAGTGTTTCGCCAAGCTCGACTTGTCCGATGCCTACCTCCAGGTCGAGGTTGATGAAGGCTCGAGAGAATTGCTGACCATCAACACTCATCGTGGCTTGTACCAGTACAACCGCCTCCCTTTTGGAGTGAAAACAGCACCAACCATCTTCCAGCAGCTGATGGATACCATGCTCGCGGGAGTTTCTGGAGCCGCGGCGTACCTGCGTGATATCATTTTAATGGGTCGGACGGCAGAAGAACTATTTCAGCGGCTCGCTGAAGTGCTTTTACGTATCCAGTCATATGGTTTCCATATCCGTGAAGACAAGTATCCCTCTTTTACACCAACTTCCAAGTTTCTCGGCTTCATTTCCTCAAAAACGGTCGGTGCCCTGATCTAGAAAATATCCGAGCTATTCAAAAGATGCCCCCACCTGCGGACTTGCAATCGCTGCGTTCATTCTGTGGCCTAATCAGTCATTACAGCGCTTTTCTGCCCGAACTGCATCACCTGCGTGCCCCGCTGAACAAGTTGCTGAGCAAGGGCCAAACCTGGAATTGGACGCCAGAATGCCAGACTGCGTTCGAGCGGGTCAAGTCATTGCTGGCTTCAGACCAACACCTGACTCACTTTGATCCGTCCCGAGAAATTGTCCTTGCCACAGACGCATCGAGTCTAGGGATCGGTGCCGTAGTTTCCCATACGTTCCCAGATGGATCTCAGAAGGCGATCGCACATGCCGCCAGGACGCTGACGAAAGCCGAAAGAAACTACAGTCAGATCGAGGAGGCATTGGTCATAGTGTTTGCTGTGAAGAAATTTCACAAGATGATGTATGGTCACCGCTTCAAACTCTTGACGGATAATAAGCCGCTGCTGGCCATTTTCGGCTCGAAGAAGGGAATTCCTACCTATACAGCCAATCGACTCCAACGATGGGCACTCACCTTGCTGGGCTATGATTTTGAAATCCGTTATCAGTCAATGGATTCGATGAGCCAGGCAGATGCGCTGTCACGCCCCATTGGTTCCCAGCGGTAAGAACACGAGGACACCATCATTGCCTCAGTTGAGATCGAACCTGTCGAATTCCTGTTGAGCGAGGCATCACATTGTCTACCAGTTGCGGCCGATGCTCTGCGAGCCGAAACGCTTCGAGATCCAATCCTGAAGAAGGTGATACACTTCCACAGAACCAGCTGGCCACGTTCGTGTTCATCTGCCAAAATGTTGCAGTTCTATCAGTGAAGAAATTCGCTCTCCACTGTGAACGATTGCGTCATATTCTTGTTGAGAGTAGTCATCCCGCAGGCGTTGCAAGAAAGTGCTGAGGCAGTTCTTTGCAGGACATCCAGGGCTCAACCGAATGAAAGCGCTTGCCCGAAGTTATGCGTATTGGCCGGTTATGGACAGACAGCTGGAGCAGCTAGCTAGGATTTGTGGCAACTGCGCTACCGCTTCAAGGGCACCGCCGAAGACTGAACTCCACTCGTTGCCTAAACCAACTAAACTTTGGAGCCAGAACTTTCTCATAGTGGTCGACGCTTACAGCAAGTGGCCCGAAGTGTCCCTCATGGGAAGCACGAAAACCAGCGCAACAGTCTCGATGTTGCGACAAATCTTCAGCTGGTTTGGCTGCCTTGAAACATTGGTGACGGCCAATGGAGAACAGTTTAGTTCGGCCACATTTACGGAATTCTGCCAACGCTGCGCCATCAAACACGTGCGGTCTCCACCATTCTACCCACAATCAAATGGCCAAGCGGAGAGGTTTGTGGATACATTCAAACGCGCTCTCCTCAAATCAAGGAGGGAGGGAAACATAGAGGTGATCAACCGCTTCCTCTTTCTGTACCGAGCTACACAGAATCCACAAACGCCGGGTGGAATATCACCAGCAGAGGCAGAGAAAACTTCGCATGCCATTTGATGCAGTTCGGCCGTCTTCAGAGTCCACAGCTGGTGAAAGGAACCTCAATGTGGAACGTGACTTTAATCGGCGGTACGGTGCAAAGGGACGTTCGTTTAAACCGGGTCAGCCAGTACTTGTACGTGATTATAGGGATGGGCACGCGAAATGGACGTCAGGCACGATCCAGTGCAAGCGCAGGAGCGTCGTTTACGACGTGCTGGTTGTAACGCAGGTATGGGTACGCCATGCAAACCAACTGCGACCAACAATGTGTCAGCCACAAGTAACATAATCCGCCGAGCTTCCATATGACCTGTTGACAGACAGCTTCATCTTACTTAAGCAGCCCGTAGAAGAATCCTGTCATCAGACGAACGATACCAGACCGCAGAGCACGGAATTCGAATCCAGAACACTACAGCCAAGGCGATGGGCCGATAGGCGTAGAACCCCTTCCAAGTAGCTTCAGATCAATCCCAGGCTAGTATCATACACCGCGGCAATCGTTTCAGGAGGGGAGGTATCCAGGAAAAGGTAAAAACATAAAGGAAAACCATTATTTTAGCAATTAATCGATTAGCTTCCACCGTGCATTGATTTCGCAGATTCCAGAACCTTCCATTCCTTCACGTGATCGACAGCATACGGAGTCTTGGCAGCGAGGCTACTAATTTTAACAGTTGAACTTCGTTTTCTAGAAGCCGAAGGTCATTGAGCCCCCCATTATGTTTGGCGTAGATGGTACAGCGTTTTGGCGGTATTTTTAACTACGTTGGCAGCGTTTTTGTTAACATGTTTTTCGTGGTCAAGGTCGTTGGAGTTTTGAATTTTCTTCGGCTGGGCTAGAATTTTTGCGGAGAAATTCTTGGGTGTTTAAGTCGGAATAGCGAGAAAAAGTGAAGACCTACCACATTTTACAGGCACCAGTTTTCGGGTGTCGAACCCTCTGTCAACTCTAATGGAGTCCGCATCGCTTTAAACGTCTGCCAGCCACAACAAAGCTGCCGATTGCTCATCGGTTTCCTTTTTTCCTCTGACACCACGTCGTGGTAGCCCTCCGAAAAGCAGAAAGAAAATTGGGTTATGACCAGAAGGCAACGTATAATTTATACGGTAAAGTACATTGCCTTGAGTGATTCCGATTTGCTCTTCCTTGATTGGCTGCCGCTGACGGAAACCGAGCCAATTGGTCTTGCGGGTTTACAAGACGATTCTCGCTCACACGTGTGGGCGTTGCTGCTCGACTGGCGGCAATCGATCAGCTTCCAGACGGTCGGCCTGTTTTCGTCCAGATCGCCAGTTCGATAGGCAATTAGCATGATCGATGTATCTTACCACCCCAATAAAGGGATCAGTCTAATCCCAATTGCTTCTAAGTTACTTGCCTCTGTCGTTCCCCACAGGCTGATTGGCACTTGTGTAATCTAAGTTTGTCCAGAGTAAGTCGGGTTTCGTCAAAGACAGAGTTGTATTCACCACGGTCTTACATTACGTCAGTTGTCAGAACACAGCCATATTTACTGGCGACCCACCGTAGTCATGTTCATCGACATCAAAATTGCCTTCGAGTCGATGGATCATTGTGCCCTTTGGAACTGCCTGTTAAGAAAAAGTGCCCGTTAAATATCTAAATGTTTTAAGACCGTTATACGCGCGTAGTTCTGACAAAGTGATAGCTTATGGTAAGTTTTCGCAACCCTTTAGCACCTCCAACGGTGTGATACAAGATGGCCCGCTGTCATCATTCGTTTTCAGCTTTCCCATCGACGAAATAATGAAAACTGCATTTATTGGACACAACCTGCAAGGTGTGGAGCTGCTCCCGGGTGATTAGCTACTTGAATTTGAATACTCCGACGATGCTGCCCCTAACTGTGACAGCTCACAGTAGTGTCAGTAGCACTGAACAGATTAGTACTAGCTGACAGTCATTTCGCGCTATGCTGTGCACCTTCTAAATGCAAAGTCCTCCAAGACTGGCAGGAACACTGTCCTGCGCTGACCCTTGGTAGTGATCAGCTATAAATCATTCAGAAATTCAAATCCCTAGGCAGCTATATTAGCGCCTCTGGGATCGAAGATGAGGTCACATATCTAAAGCCAGACGCGCTTTCCCCAATCTCCGCCAAATGTCGCGCCAGCGCAACATCGCGGTTGCTTTGAAAGGTAGAATCTGCAATGCAGTCTTGCGTTTAACCCTGCTATACGGTAGTGAAACTTGGTCCATCAGATCGACATGCTTAAAGAGGCTTGTTACTTTCGACAACACTGCCTTCGCAGTTTCACTCTTGTCTGATGGGATCACCGCGCGAGCAATGAGCATGTTCAACGTCACGTATTTGGTGTAAGAAAAGAGAGTGAAGCGCTCAGCAAGTTATATCACGCACCAGGCTTTGATGGCTTGGTCACTGTCTCCGTGAATGACCGAGACTTGGAAAAAGCCACAATGTCGCTTGTAAACTCCTTATTGACGTGACCAATTATACCAACTGCTCGGTGATGACAAGGACTTGTGGCTTATCGGCCATCATGCAACATCTTGAACTTTGAATGTGAGAGAGAAATGCAGAAACATGCAGTGCTTGCATGTAGATGCTGTGTCCACCCCAACATACCCGATGTCCGCGTACGGAGGCTTTCTGTTATGCAAGTACAGATCGGGCAAGTCATACTGATCAAAATTCAGGTCATTCAACACATCATGTTGGCAGGTAACGTTAGCCAATCAAAGCCCGTGGTTGGTAAACAACCTGAAAGCGCGTGGTATACTAGGCTACACTTTGAAAATGGTTGCCTAATCGACATCTTCCTACAAAGTCTGTATTCGTCCCTCGACAGCCTCAGATGGTCATGCAATGCTTTAAATCGTTAGCTGGAGAGATGGATCAATATCATGCATATAATAGCTGTTATGGTCAAGGAGAAAATGCAGAAATGTAAACATATACGATGGAGGACCAAAACGTGCCTTATAATCTGGTCACAAAATAGAAAATATTTTTGTAGCTAACCCTCGCGAATGCGAGAATAAAGTTGGGTAGATATAGATCATGCCTAAGAGACAAGGGACTCCTGAACAGTGTGGCACATCGATTGATATGCAATGGCATACCTGACACTTGCTGCACTTGCAAAGTCGTTCCCGCCAACTTGCTGACCAAAAGATCGAGGGCGGTTCGGATGCATTTGATAAATCTAGATCCTTTACAGTGATGTCGCACGATTGTTTGGTACCAAAACGATGGATAGTCGCCGAAAGATGACATTCTTCAGATTTCTCACCAATATCCTCGGATAGAGAAGCTAATTTGCAGCGTTTGGCTTCGTGCTCTGTCTCAAGTTGGCGGTTTTGCAGTAGCGGGTTACTGGTTAGCATCCTCCGAATTGATTCAGAGAGCTCGCAAGATGCCTCTTCTTCGTGCTCAAGTGCATAAAAGTATAGAAATGAGTATTTCTGGAGACAAAGAAAACACGTCATCTCCTCATAATCTTCAGGAGCCTTAACGTTGTTTGGCAAATTTAGATGCTGTGACAGACAAAATGTGAGAGATGACATGGCATACCTCAATATGGTACCAATCTTCACATAAACCACACTGAATCATTTCTTCATTTCCCTGCGCGCAGAATGTCGTTACATATTATGCTTAGTACAAACTTCATAATCCTCATCTGGGTAAGGTCGCTTACAAATGCAGTAGCAGTTGGAGAAATTGTCGTTGTACTGGTTTTCAATATTTTCGTCATCCTTTTCCTAAGGACGAGTAACTTCGGGCTCAACTGCGCAAAAGTTTACCTCCCACAGAGTGCATTGAAACTGGCCAAATTTGGCGTTACCACAATCGCAACGAAAACGTCGCTTAGTGTAAAGTTCTACGGTATCGTGACCTTCGTGGCAATTGACCAAGCAAGGATAACAGAAAGCAGCCTTGGTGGTAGATATATCCAAACAGGTTTTACATGTGTACAGAGCTTGGCGTTTCATGTAGCCCTGGGGAGGATAACCGTTAGACAGTTAAGGTGCGTAGATACTTACACTAATGAAACTGCAAGAGTCGTGATTTTTGATGCCGCCCATAACGATGGCTTTTTCTTCATCGATAGATTTGATAACATCCTCAATGGAGACCACGCTATCTTCATCGTCCATCATGTTGACGAATAAGGGTAAAATATATTGATATTGGAGGATAAGGGCGAACTCCTTTATCCTTTAGAAAGACGAAGATGTTAGTCTAACTATATTGTTAAAGAGTTGCATAAGAGCAGTAAACAGTGAAGTGAGGAAAATGATGCTGGCGCAAACTACTGTGTACTAAGGTACAGTTTGTACTTATTCTTAACCACATTAACAGAGCGGCGTATCATTGTTTCGGAGCACCGGCTGTGTGCCTGAACTGCGTTACGCAATCTGTTATGATTTAACTGGAAGCAAACCCAGTACATTCGGATTATGGGGACCGTATCCGAAAATACCCAGAACGACATGTCCCTACGCCTCTTATCTAGGCCTGAGTCGAGAACCTCCGACAACAAGATACGGTTGGTTTTTCTCTCCTTTATATTTCGGAGGATGATGCTCTCCCAAAACTAGTCAAGTATTGCATTAGTTTGCATGCGTCAATCAAGCGCTGCAACCAAGTCAAAACCCTACGTCAACCAACTGTAACGCTTTAAAATAACGGATGTAGCCCCATCCTACTGTGGTGCAGAGTACATGGTCGGTTTAATATTATTTCCGCAGCGCCATGTAATTTGAAGGGGTGAATGTGTATCAGAACTGTTGTAACTTGAGAAGGTTGATGGGACTATCCAATTGAAATCAACGATCAGCCACTTGAAGTGATGCTACGCTGCCGTACAATGACCTAAGGAATGAAGAATAATGTGATGGAGAAATGTAGACCTACCATGAAATCTAAGTAGTCTAAGAGAACACTGAGGGTCAAGGAGCATACACCTCGTCAACATCATACTTTCACAAACAGCTGGCTATCGTGTGAAGATTAGGCGGTAATGGTGAGACGGCGTACTCAAGCCTTTCACAAGCAGCCATTACCGCACAGATAAGTAAGCATCAGGCTCACTGTAAACAGTTTATTGCCGATGCAATTTCGCTGAATGTACCGCAAGAGTAGTTGTTAGTTGACTCCCACACTGGATACAGAGCATCAAAGACACATCGGAGCTCAAACGTAACCGGACTCAAT